CCCCCCCCCCCCCCCCCGTGCAGCTCCCAGCGCTGGAAATAAACGATCTTTGCTCCACTGGGTTTGTCCCGGACTCAAATCCCATCCCCTGAGCGCGTTTCTCACACACATATTCCCAGAATTTCCCCAGATTTCACTTCCCTGCCGGGTTGTCCCCCCCAAACAGGTATCGGGGTGGTTGGATTGTCCCCCCCTCCATGAGGACCAGGGTGTGCGAGGGCGATGCTGCTCCTCTCTGTCCCTGGAGACCCCCATCCTCCCTCTCCCCTTTGGGGCTGTCGCAGCCCCCACCGTGACACCCCGGGGGTAAGAGCCATCCCACCACCCACCACCCCCAGGTGGAGGTCAAATCCGGTTGGTGGCCGGTCACGAGTGGTGTCCCCCAGGGCTGGGTACTGGGACCCGTTCTCTTTAACATCTTCATCGACGATCTGGACGAGGGGATGGAGCGCACCCTCAGTCAGTTCACAGGCGACACCACGTTGGGTGGGAGTGTGGACCTGCTGGAGGGTAGAGAGGCTCTGCAGAGGGATCTGGACAGGCTGGATCGATGGGCTGAGACCAATGGGATGAGGTTCAACAAGGCCAAGTGCCGGGTCCTGAACTTGGGTCCCAGAAAAGGACCTGGGGGTGTTGGTCGACTGTCGGCTGAACATGAGCCAGCAGTGTGCCCAGGTGGCCAAGAAGGCCACCAGCATCCTGGCCTGTATCAGGAACAGCGTGGGGAGTAGGGCCCGAGAAGTGATCATCCCCCTGTACTCGGCCCTGGTGAGACCCCACCTCGAGTACTGTGTCCAGTTTTGGGCCCCCTACCATAAAAAAGACATTGAGGGGCTGGAGCGGGTCCAGAGAAGGGCAACGAAGCTGGTGAGGGGTCTGGAGAGTCAGTCTTATGAGGAGAGGCTGAGGGAACTGGGGTTGTTCAGTCTGAAGAGGAGGCTGAGGGGAGACCTTATCACACCCTATAACTACCTGAAGGGGGGGTGTAGAGAGGTGGGGGTCGGTCTCGTCTCCCAAGTCACAGGCAACAGGACAAGGGGAAATGGCCTCAAGTTGCGCCAGGGGAGGTTTAGATTGGATATTAGGAGAAAATTCTTCACGGAAAGGGTTATCCAGCATTGGAATGGGCTGCCCAGGGAAGTGGTTGAGGCACCATCCCTGGAGGTGTTCAAAAGACGGGTTGACATGGTCCTCGGGAATATGATTTAGTGATTTATTTTATTTTTTTTTATTGCTTATGTATTTTTTGTCAGAGTTAGGTTGATGGTTGGACCAGATGATCTTTAAGGTCCCTTCCAACCTAGACGATTCGATCTAGGATTCTATGAAAGGCTTTCAAAGTTTAACAGAATTCGACATGGGGACACTACACACCTGTCTTACCGTGTTACTTCGGGGGTTAGTTATGAAGAAAATCATGGAAATCGCAATCTAACACGAAATACTATCATAACTACCACTGCCAGTATTAGTAACAGTATTATAATCCAGTTCGGATCCATGTTCCTTGTGGAGGATCCTCCTCCCCCCCATCCATGGTGGCTGCCTTGATCACGGGAGCCCCCCCTGGAATTGCCCTGCGAGGACAGAGGGGTTGTCAGCAAGAGGGGCAGGGGGTGTGGGGGTG